GTATTATGCTAAAGGGAATACCAAATGAAGATACAAAGCTTGGATTTTAATGGTAATTTGTATGAAGTGTAGCGGTGTAGCCAAAGATAACATAAATAACTAAATATTTTGAGTTTTTGAAGATTTTGAGATTTATGAAATAGTTTTTCAAATGGTAATTGATGTTATGGGATTGGGGTGAGCATGTGATTAATAAGGTAGGCTGTAGTTTCAAATATTGTTGGCCAAAAGGTTAGTAGCATAGAGGCTTAGTGTAGAAGAATGAGACCAGTCTTAATTATATGTTAGTGCTTTCGTTTGATAAAGCCAACTAGTTAAGGTGTGTGTGGTAGTGACCTGAGATATTGTATACCACATGATGAAAGATGAGTTATTAAAGTTTGGTATTCACCTCATCCATCAGAGTAAATTATTTTAATAGTAGATTAGATGAAGTTCTTAACTAACTTTCTAAATGAGTAAAGACTATAGTGACTTCATATTTATGTTTGAGAGATTATAACTATGTATATTTAGTGAAGTAAATTACGAAAATTAACATAAAATCTGAAATTATCAAAGGAAGTTGTTGGGGCAGAGCGTTAGACATTAGTATAAATTATTTCAAGTGGTTTAGAGTAGGATATGGAAGATATTCCAAAAAATAGTCTATAACTTTATTACTAAGACAAGCATCATAATGAGTTATAATACTTGATTTAAAAATTGAAAGAAAGTAATGAAAAATTAACTATTATTGAATTGAGGATGATGGATGACAAAGACGATAATGCCACAAATCGATTACTATAGTAGCTAAAGCATGAGTAATTAGCTGGGTGTTTTATGAAGCTGCTGGCCACTTGTAATTACGATCTTTATTTTGGCCTCGAATTAAGTATGCATTCATACACATTTCCTTTAAAATAAATGAGTTATGAAAAAACTCGATAGATGTGTTATTTTGTTTGTAGACTTAGAGACATAAATAAAGTTTCTTTTGATGTAAGATGCACACAAAATATCAAATATAAAAGTGTTTGTGTATGAATTTAGTGTTCTAGAACTAGTGCGAGTGATAGGGATTCTATTACCATCATCAATAATGATGTTTTCATTGCTTCCATAATTGGTGTAGATAGATAAATTATATCAATCAGAAATGATATGATAAGAAGCACCGGAGTCAACAATCTAATTGCTTAGATAAGCAATCAAAGCAATCATGATGTTTACTTGAGGCTAACTAGGTGTACTAGTAGGCTTAGGTCGAGATCGACAGACCTTTACTATAAGTTTGATTTTATCACAGAGTTAGTAGATGACTTTTTATTGATTATTATTGTTGAAACACCAAAACTGCTAATAGTTATAGTTGAAATTATTTCCCATGTGAATAAGAGGCATCGTTCAATTCTTTATTGAAGTTCTTATTACTTTGATTAACTTTTTCTTTGGATTTTTAATTGAATTGAGTTGTGATAGTTGATCTCATTTTCCTCTTTTCTCATTTCAGATATGTTTTATGATCAATCAACTTATCATATAGTTCTTCAAATGACATTGATGAGTCACATGCCTTAATTGCTGTCGCCAATTCTTTATATTCATCTCCTAGGCTATTGAGAGTATGAATGATGATTTCTTCATTGCTTAGGGATAACTTATTAAAGCTATATCATTTATAATAACTTTTAAATTTTATATATAATTAGCAGTAGTACTCCCCTCTTGTATTATTTTTATTAGAATAGATAAAATACTTAAACGTGCGAGTGCGAGAGGGATTAGCGAGGGTGGCTTGTAACTTGGACTATGCTTTTTCTACAGAGCTGCATGAAGAGATTAGTGGTACTATGGAGCTAGCAATTAAGACTTAAATGACTTATAGAATAAAATGATCATGTCATAGCTATAACTTGTGATTAGGATTTGCCACTATGATGGGTTCTCCTGATATTTAATTTTTTTCTAATGAATAACTAAGAGAACCATCGATGTATCCTAATAGATCATATCCAAAGAGAAGATTGGTAAATTATGCTCATTAAGATGTATAGTTGCCTCCTTTAAAGAGCTTGAAAGGGATTAGAGCCTTGTAGGTTGAGACGAGCTATTATTTCTTAAGGAAATAATAATTAAAGCATTAGATGTAGAGAATGAAGATATGTTGAGAAAATGTTGTGATCCAATAAGAAAAATCCAGAACCAACTGATGGACTAGTTTGGATGTACAGATAATGAACATTTAATCTATTAGAGGAGATCAGATCTAAGAAGTACATAGGGGAGAATATGATATAACAAAGAAGATCAGATCTGAGAATTGCACAATGGAAGATCTAATCTGAGATGTAAAGAAGAGGGTGATCTCTTCCATTTTCTCTGGAGTCCTTCTCTCGATCACGAGTTTTGATGACACAATCAAAAGGATGGTGGTAAGCAATCGACTATCGTCAAGATGTCGATTGTGGATCCAAGGTGCTAGTGAGTTCGACGATTGATAAGAAGGGGACCAAGATGCCGACGAAGATGTTGAGTAGTAGGTAGGAGTAGAGAGAACACCCACCAAGCAGAAATATGTTGCAAAGCATATCACACTAAGAGATTAATAAGGAGTTGCGTGTTTTCGTCTTTGGTGTAATGTCAGAATCCGAAAACAGGAATAGTTGTAAAGTAGTAATAGGATAGGCAAAGAAGAGGAATAGCCGTCACTAATGGGGTAAAGGAAGAGAGAGCTTTGCTTAAAGTAAAAAGGCTCTAATATCATGAAAATTTTCTTGTGAAATGGATAATCTCATTAATTGAAACAATACGTATTTATACAAGTTATAAGGGAGAGATTTTCTTCAATCATATGCTCATGCATTCATGTACTTAATATATGATTGATCTTCAAATGATAGATTGATTGAGGATCAAAATATATAAGAGATATAGAATTATCATTTCATATTTACTTATATCATGATATTTTATCATATGTAACGATGATACATAATCTTATAGTAATTGGTGTAGCATCCACATGGCCCTTGGATGTTTGCAATTCAAATGTTATGTTGATCTCAGACTAATTTCACATTAGTGATAGTGAATTATCTTGTGGCGTCGCTAATAATAATGTTTTAAATTGTTTGCATCTTATTAAGTGTTGATATAAAAAAAAAAGTCAAGTTGTTTGTAGTTGTCATATTTTATTAGATCAATAACGGAATAAAACCTTGAAAATATAGAACAATTTCATAGTATTTGAATGGCCAAGCTTGATATTTGCAACTCTGAAAGAATAAATAGGATAGTAATGTTCCACCAGGTCTTGTTCTTGCATAGATATCAACCAGTAGTAGTCAGTGACCTAAGTGCAATCATTGGCACAACATGTACTTAGGTGTAATGATTAATAAGTGGGCTTTTATTCTGCAGCCGAGTTCTGTAATAAATTTGATTGGCACTTCCAAAAAATATACAAACTTTTCATGAAAGAAGTAAAATTATCATATTCTTCTGGAAAGTAAAATTATCATATGCAGAGAAGTGAACCCTACAGAGATTCTTCAGTCAATCAGACATTTGATTAGACATCCGGAGAGGTAGTCATACAAGGTGACTTTATATTTGTTATCCACATTTAACTTGCTCATCTTTTACTTCTAAGTAGGTAATTATGTAACAGGTATTTAACTGATTTGTTCCTGTTTGATCTTATTAGTGTTGTCCAGTAGCTTATTTGTTACACACATTTTGTTTGAGATAGGAGGCAGGACATTTGTTCAAAAAGAGTCATAAATCTTTGAACTAATTATAATTATTTATCTTTAATATTTCGATCTTTATATTTTAAAAAATTACATTGAGATCTATTTTTAGTTATCTTTAGCATTCTGATATTTATAAAAAAGAAGTATTTAGTTTCGTTTCTCCTTTACGAAAATATCGTAGGCTTTATCATTAAGCACATATTAATTTTGCCTTACTTCGATTTGTCGCTGAGCGTGTATAATATTTTTGTTAACAGAATCGATGAAGTGAGGAGAAACGAGATTAAATATTTTATTTTCATAAATATAAAGATCCCAATGTAATTTTAAAAATATAAAAATTAAAATACTAAATATAACTAATTAGAGGAGATAATCTGTAATTAGCCCTAAATCTTTTAATACATATGTCTGATATTCGTTTATAAGTGAAATAATTTTCCAACAATGTGACAGTAAATGTCCTAAAAATTTCTGTGATTCATTCTCTAGCCAAAGACAAATTGATGCCATCATTGCCGGGAAAACCTATTTGTTGAGATTTAGCATTGTGAATCTGCGTTGATTTCGATCAGAAGTGATAATTCTGGTCGCCATATGTGTATCTGTATTACTTGTTATCTTTTTTAGTCGTACCATCATCCAAAATGCTGCTACAGATTCATATATAGCAGCATGGCGTACCAATTTTATCCAACTTTGGATTCAAACCCATCTTCCGAATTGTTGTTTTTCCATCTTCTCCTGTCTCTATACACCACAATGCCTATGTGGGCTTCATGCAATGCTCCCATGAAGCTTCTGTCTATGGTAAGTTGCTGCATAACCTTTGTTTTCAGCTCTTACCTTTCTTTCTCCTTTGCAGTGATAAGGTTGGGTTGTTTACTGCTGTCTTTGTTGTTTCTGCCCATGCACTGTACACTTTCATTCTGTTATCCTGCAGATACACACAGTCATTGATATCAATGGCTCTCTCTCTCTCTCTCTTTTTCTCTCTCTCTCTCTCTCTCTCTCTCTCTCTCTCTCTCTCTTAGCATCATTTGACTTGAAAGATGCATTTTGTCTTTAGGACTTCCATTTTTCTTTTGTCTGGAGTGATCAAGTCCATGAGTTTATAATTCTTTGGTTCGGAAAATTATGGGCTCCTTTTGCAATTTATGGTCTCTTCTTTCTTGTTTCTTTTACATTTAATCTTCTTGTCTCTGAGGTAACACACTGAGTTTTGTATCTTCTGCAATTCCATGTTAACCAACAAGAAGATCATCAAGAATGTGTTGAAATAGAAGAATAAACAACCAAGTATTTTACGCTGACACCAGAAAGAACAAAAAAACAAAGCCAAACTTCTCATTTTGAGTTTATGGATTAGATGCTCTGCACATCACAAGCTCAGACAGCCATCATCATCCTGGAGAACTCCTCGAAGTTCACTTGTCCATCACCATCGGTGTCAGCTTCCTTGATCATTTGGAGGACCTCCTCATCTGTTATCTTCTCCCCAAGGTTGAGCATCACATTCCTCAACTATATGTGCAGGAAGAACATGGCCAATAAACCATTGGTTAATACTATTCTGAAGTTTATCTTATATTCCAAACACAAAAAGAAAAAAACCATCATGATACAGTAGTACGAGATCACATTTACCTCACTGGCTGAGATGTATCCATTCTGGTCTTTGTCAAACACCTTAAAAGCTTCTCTTAATTCCTCTTCAGCATCAGTCTCCTACAATGCCAGGGGAGGACAAGATGTCATTCCTGAAGTGATTTAGACCGTAGCGAGTCTCGCATGTTTCTACGCCCCAAATGATTAGCATTTTTGGAGCTCAACTCGCTGATGCTTGTGTTCCTTCCTACCTTCATCTTTCGAGCCATCAAGTTCAGAAACTCTGTGAATTCTATGGTGCCATTGCCGTTGATGTCAACCTCCATGATCATATCTTTCAGCTCTTCTTCAGTCGGGTTCTGACCCAATGATCCGATTACAGTGGCTAATTCGTCGATGGTAATGCAGCCTATCGAAGCAACGTTTAGAGAGGAAACAAAGATCCCAATTAAGTACGAAAAGAAGCAGCTTCAAAGATTTATCCTGTCGGTGAGCACTAATGTGAGAGCATGAGAAGGTGCAGAATGACTGTGATCGATGATGTGAAGTTGAACTCTAGCCTCAAATCAAAAGTCTCCGTTGTTCTATCTATCTTCTGTAAGAGAGAGAATTCTCCACATTAACATGACCAACTCGAGTGAAAGAGAAGATTCACAGATGCTTGTGACATGAAAGTTCTGAAGTTTCCAAACACGGACAAAAGCCATTTGCATGAATATGAAGCAGCGTTTATCTTTTGATCAAAGAGAAGATCGATTAACTATAAACCATTAACGAAACAATAGATCATACATACATCATGAACAAAACAATAAACCATTAACAAGAGATTCAAACAGATCATTAGCCCAAAGGGACTCCAAACTGAACTATAGATCATATATCTAATCAACCAAAAAAAAAAAAAAGATAACATCCCTTTTCTTTCCTCCTCAGCAGAGCAAAAAGAAGGAAGAGAAGTTCAAATGCCAAAACGAAACCAGACAAAAATATAAAGAAACATACACACAAGAGAACTAAGAAAAAAGAAAGCAAGAAAAAGGATGGCAGAAGAAGAACAGACCGTCTCCATCCTTGTCAAAGAGGCAGAAGGCCTCTTGGAACTCAGATATCTGATCAACCGACAGGAAATTCATTCTACTGCCTCAAAAGCAAACGGGAGAGGAGAAGAAGAAGCGAGGAAGAAAGATGTTGTGTGGTG